GAGGCGGGGGTGGCGCGGGGCGCTCGGCCGTCTGGGGGGACGGTGGGTCCCCGCGTCCTGAGCCCGGCCGCCGTGATGGACGCGCCCGGGCCCCCGCGGCCTCCTCGTCGTCCCCTGTCTGCTCGGTACCAGCCGGCGTGTGGCAGCCACTTCTCCTGTGGCGCACGGCCCCGAGCCCTTCAGGGCTGTTCCCCTAATTCCCTTACTTATTCCCCCCCACAGCCCGTGGAGGCGCTCTGATTAGTCCCGTTTTACAGTTGAGGAAACTGAGGCACAGGGAGGCTCAGGACTTTGCCCAGGGCCTCACGATCGCTGTCTGCCAGGGTCGGACCAGAAAGACCCCCAGCTTGGCCGGTTTCCGGGCCCGGCCGCCCCTCCTCCGCTCCAAGTCGTGAAACTTGCGGTTTTAACAATCGGGCTCAGTGGTGACCCGTCTCCCAGGTTGGGTTTGGACCCAGGCGCTGCCGAGTGTCTGGGGCACGAGGGGGACCGAAGTTCCCGGCAGTGCTGCTCTGTGAAGCTCGTCCTGCCCTGATGCGTGAGACCCCACTTCCCGCCTCCGGTTGGGACCGTCATGGTTTGGCCCCGGGGCGGCCCCGGGCCTCCTGGCGGGACCCTGAAACCACATGCATAGTTAATGGGCTGGGTGCGGCGGGGTTCGGTGTCCCGCGGGGGGGCCGTCGGAACCTTACCTCCCACGACAGGCTTGTGTGTCTTTCCAAGCCTTTTGCTCCCTCCTTGAAAAGTGCCTATTTTTTTTTCCGTTATTACTCCGATACTGGGTTTGAAATATTGCGGAGTTCTTACCAAAGAATCGGGAGCACGGGCGCGCGTATCCCATCCAAGGAACTTTGAAAAGATGATCTACACGTAGGCATGTTTTTTAAAAACTTTGTGGGAAGTTAGATCAGTACATTGTTGTTACAAGACAGCAAGGCATCGGCTACGATTTAGGCCGGTGTTTTTATTTTCTAGTCTTTGTATTTACGAGTGTACTTTGTTACCATGAGCTTTGACCTCTGTGACTGGTAAACAATGTAACGGAATAGTCAAGCTTTTGTATTTGACGGACTCACGTTTTCTACTGGTCCTAATTACTGAGCACAGAGTACTAGAGATGAGTTTTCCTTGGTTTCTTTATCAGTAAACTGTAATCAAGAAGTCATAAACATAATTCTGTCTCAAAAACAGGAGGTTGTGTTCATTTCTTCAAAGAAAACACGTGTTTATAGGAAACAGTGTGGTATAATGAGTGATCACACAGACCTAGGTTTAAATCCCAGTTATTCCATTTGTTAGCTGCATGATTTCGAGTAAGTTCCTTGACTTCTCCAAGCCCACTTCCCACTTACAAAATAGAATGGGTGTTTACCATTCATGTTTATTTTGTGGACTGGAGGTAATATTCCTAAAGTTCTTAGTTCATAGACGAGCTCAGCAGATGTTAGCAGCTCTTAAAATTATATTTATTCTAATTAATGTTTTTACAAAGTTTATTATATTATTAAGCCTGAGAGGCCCCTACCACAATAACTGACATGTAATAATACTTTCCCTATCCTCAATCTAAGTCACTCTTGACTATTTATAGAAAATAAATTTAAAAGACAGATTCATAAATATTTTGCAACTAGGATGTAAAACATACATTAATTTTTTGAAGTTTTATATGATCAGTTGATCTGGCATATAATTAACATTTTATTAAAATGAATAATTAAGAGTTTACCCCAAAACCTCACTAGGTTGGGTTAATTGGCAGAAATAGTCGTTTGATTTGCAATTTTTGGGGGGTTTTTTAGAATTTTGTTATAATTGAGTAACTCGTTACTGTTACTAGTCATTAGCTGTTATTTGCCCTTGCTCTACTGGCTTTTAGTTTCTATATTTACAAATGCCTGCTTTAAGGTATAATTAAATATTGTATGTCAACTATACTTTAAAGAATGTATAATTAATAGTTTTAGTAGCTGCATTTATTTACTTATAAGCAATGAACTCATCATCTTTTTTCTTAAGTCGATTAAATGAAGTTGCTGTACTTTTTTTTCATTGTTACTGATTTTGAGAGAGAGAGGATGGGAGAAAGAGAAACATCGATTGGTTGCCTCTCGAATGCGCCCCCAACCGGGGATTGAACCCACAACCTAGGTATGTGCTGGGACCAGGAATCAAACCCTCAGCAATGCTCCAACCAGCTGAGCCACACCAGCTAGGGCAAGATGCAGTACTTTTAATATTAGTTTAACAAAATCTGTCTTCATAATGCATAGTTAAAATTGTAAATAATGGTCAGTAATTATAAATTCTGATTTGCAAAAATTCAGATTAATGAGATTTTGTTTTTCTTTGGAGGGAAGGGAACTAATGTTGTTTCCATGAAATCTATAACTATATTTTGCTTGACTTTACATTTTAAATGTTTTGCATTTAAGGTTCCATTCAAATCAACAGCATTTTTGAGCTTTCTCTTACGAAATTGGTTTAGGCATTTTGTATGTTTCTCCTTTCATTTGAATGCTTTGCTCCGTTTTGATTGTCATGTCTTGCTATTGATAAGGTTGACTCGTTCTCAATAGCCCATTTGTATCTAATTGTGTACTTAGACCCTCTTAATAATATTTGATATTCCTCTTGTTTTTACCTAAATGTGTTGATCTTACTTCCTTTTACACACAGACTATTATACTATTTTTGAAATAGCCTCTTTCCCCTTTTGTCCCCCTTCCCACCCCCATCCTCTCCTTAGAAATAAGTGGTTCACATTTTAGTGAAAAGTTTTCAATAGATTGTCTTTTCCTTTAGTCATGGTAATTTATTTCGTGTACATTCCAGGGTTAGAGTGGCTGAACACAGAAGGGCCTATTTCTGTCTACAAGGATCTATGTGGAAAAGTGGTCATCCTTGATTTCTTCACCTACTGCTGCATAAACTGTATTCACCTCCTGCCTGATCTCCATGCCTTAGAGCACACCTACTCCGATAAAGGTAACTGCCCTTTAATTGGTTTTTAACAGACCTAGACTCTGGAGGAGTAGCTGACTCATTTCCTCATAGGAGAATGAATATTGGCAACACTTCAGTAATTCTAAAAGTAATTTCTAATCTTTGAATTAAGGACTCCATGTACGTTTTCAGGAGAGTTAAGCGTAGCAATACTGGAATCAGCGTTTAATATATTTGGTATGTTTTCTCTAAGAATAGGACATAATGTGCTTTTTCATGATCAAGTATTTTTTAAAGGTCACTTTACATATCTAGACTTACCTGAATGTTTTATAAAAAAATTAAATGTGTGACTGATTTTATACTCTTCTCAAGAACCATGATATAAAGGTTTAAAGCTCTTAATAGGAAATGTGATTCTTCTCCCTCTGATTTCTAATGACATGAACTACAGTGGAATCAGAATATTGTAACAGATACTTTTTCTTTGACCCTGCTTTTTGAAAAATGTCTTCCAAAGCACACCAGGAAATCCTCTTTTATAGTATTGCAAATTCTGAAGATGTAAGAGATTATACTTAAAACTTCAAACTTGTAAAGCAAATACTTTCAGATATTTTTTTCTTATTTACTTCTTCCTAAAAGAGAAGATAGGGGGCAAATGAAACTGAAGGTTCCATTTAATTAGGTTGAAATTAATTGAAGCTCTTCTCTTGGATAAAAAGGAGAGAGGGTCACTGATCTTGTGAGTGAAGATGAGAATAGGAGGGTACACTTGTAGAAGGGGATCTTGACACTTAAAAAACAGGAGTGATAGATAAAATCTTCAATGCTAGTGAAGCTTCAGTTGCTTTTAAATTGTAATAGGTTATATCTTGAAATGCAGAACAGTGAGGTTTATCAAGAACTCAAAAGTCCCAGTAGCTAAATCATGCTTTCAAAACTTCATCTGTAGTTATTTAGGAAGTATGAGTAATTTATGTTAGGTTTCGAATGCCTGTGTGTCTTGTTCAGGCCCATGTAAATAAATACATTTGTCGAATATGTATTATGTGTAAGGTACTCTGCTAACTGCTGGGGAAATATGTATCGAAGTTGAATAAAAAGCGTTATGGAACCTGAGGAAAGGAGTAACTCTCTTTGCCTAGAAGCCCTGGGAAAGATTTCTCAGAGAAGGAGACAATTTAGATGCAACTGGGAAAGTTAGGAGCAGTGCAGCTGTAAATGAAAATGGGGCAGGAGGGACAACACTGCTGGTGGAGGAAGCAACAGGTAAACAAGCCAGAAAGCAAGGAATCTCTGTTACTTGGGGAATGGGAAATAGCCTAGGATGGCAAGATTGCAGGGGCTCATGGGAAACCTGAAGGAGAGGAAGACAGGTTAGGTTTGGACCATGTTGAGAAGGGCTTTGCATAACACTTAATAATTTAGACTTTTCCTTCCTGAGACACAGAGATATTACAGGTGGTTTTCAGTTTGTGTGGTTTTGTTTATCTGTTTAATAGCAGGATCGCATATTGAGTTTTAGACAGGCACCACAGACTGGGCTAAGAACCCCAGAGTTAACTATTTCCATCCTTATATTACCCCTAAAAGACTCTAGTTAACTTTCTTTGTTAACCCCGTACCTGAAACACATTCAGTGACTTCTTAGAATGGACCCTTGTAATCTCTTTACCACTTTACTGGAAACTTCATTTTTATGGTACTTCATTTTTATTATTGTAATAATAAAAAAATAGAAACAACTCAATTTTTACATACAAATACACTTCTGAAAAAGTAAAATACTTTGTAAATGGCCTCAACATTATAATCTCAAAGAAACATTATTTCAGTAATATGCTACTATATGAAAATGCTGGTAGCTTATAATAAAAGATTTTTGTATTGCTCAGATAAATTCAGTTCACTCACAAAAGCAGGCATATTTGGAGATTATTACATCAAAGTTCAATGAGCTGTCACTAACTTCATTTGCTTTCTTGCAGCTAAGTGTCTTGTCTCACAATTATCTGATATGTTTCTGAACATACTTGCAGCAATGCGAATAGTTCTTGACAGTGACATTCGGCATCCTATTTTAAATTTCACAGAATATTCAGTTCATTTTATTAGTAAGCCAGGATTGCTCAGCTTTTGAGGAAGTGCTTATTAATTCAAAAAATCCTTGAAAGAGGTCCAATTTAATACCAGTCTCCTTCCTCTGTAAAACAGCTTTTAAAGTCAGGTTTGCAATGGTGATCAGTATCATGTTTACAGTACCATATGAGAAATTATAATGCCTAAGAGTCTAAAGCGAAAAGTAAGCAGATACTGTACTTAATAGTAATGAATGGTCTGGTCTTCAAACATTGTTTAAGAATGTAGCTATGCCCTAAGGTTGTAACTAATTCTTAACAGTTCAGTTCACCAACTGGTACCTTGGTGGTTTTCTTTCCTTTTCTATTTGAGAGTTTCTAAATTTTTCTTCTTTCTTTTCATGCTGGATACATTAATGGTATGTTATTATATAATACCCAAATTTAGCACAATGGCTGTTATTTAAGGAAAAGCATTCTTGTTTTGTAAGAAAACAATTGTTAGGAAAACTTTGTATATTTTAAAATATGATTTCTTGGTGTATGTTAATATATAATTAAATTAGACTTTAAAAAACCTAAATGCCATAATACTACTGAATAAATGCTGGTATTCTCATTAGCATATACTATTTTTCTGTTTTATATTTTATTAAAAATCAGAAAAATGCATTTTTAATTTTATATTGAAACTAAACCTTTTAATGGGTCAATATATAATTTCATTTTATGTCAGGATCCTAAAACCACTGCCAGGTTCAGTAACTCTTCAGGAGGACTCACAGGATTCAGCATGTGGTTGTGCTTATGGCTGATTTATTATGGCAGTGGATAAAGCAGGACCTGCAAAGGGAAAAGACACTGGGGCTAAGTCCTTCCCACTTTTATCCTGTATAATTAACTGCGTAGAAAAATGGAACTGTCAGAAGAGGGCGCTCTCAAACTGAGAGCCCTGTCCACAAAATGAATAGGAATATTAAAAATATCACATCCATATAAACTGTAAAAAACTGAAAATGTGACTCAAAGTTGAAATCCTGATGAAAATTCTCACTTGAAAAACGATCACAAAGTTGACAAAAACTGTAACACAATTTTTCAATTGAATTACATATCCTCAAACAGCTTTTAGGACTAATGAAAAAGCAACTAATGAAAAAGCAAGTTCTTCTAATGAAAAAGAACTTCAAGAGCTAAACAGAAATGGACGAAAAAGAAAGAAATGTGCTGATTGAACTCAGAAAAGAAATAGAAGGGAAAGATCAGAATTACATTAGAAATTAAGATTAAATTACAAGGTGCCCAGGGGACAGTAAATTCATATAAAAATGGTGGAGTAAGGGGTATTGAAGTAAAGCAGGGGGAGGGAAACTTAGGGAATAAAAATGAGCTAAAGAAAGAAGTAAAGAGTTAGAAATGATTGAATTAGAAGAGAGCCAAAGAGGTCCAACATAAGACTACTTGGAGACTCTGAAGAATAAAATCAAAACAACTGACCAGAGCTAATATCTAAAGTTAGAATCCAAGAAAGTGTTCTGGAAAAAAAAGAAACCTTGAATCTACTTATTGAAAGGTCCTACCAGATACCAGAGAAAGTTGACTTAGAATATCCCAAGAGGTATCCCTGTAAACCTATTGCACTTTATAGTTGTTTAAAAAAAATCAGAGCCTCGAGGAAAAAAGATCACTTTTAAAGGCATAGAAATTACACTGGATAGACTTTTCACAAATGCACAAAGCAAGGTAACAGAGCAATATTTTCAAGAGTCTTTTAATGTATTATTGTATTCAGTTTGCTAGCATTTTGTTAAGAATTTTTACATCTGTGTTCATCAAAGATATTAGCCTATAATTTTCTTTTTTGTGTGTTGTCCTTGACTGGTTTTGATATTATGGTAATGTTGGTCTTGGAGAATGAATTGGGAAGTGTTCCCTCCTCTTCAGTTTTTTGAAGGAATTTGAAAAGAATAGGTATTAAATCTTTGAATATTTGTTAGAATGCACTAGTAAAGCTGCCTGGTCCTGGACTTTGTTTTTTCAGAGTTTCTGATTGCTGTTTCAATCCTTTTACTAGTGATAGGTCTATTTGGATTTTCTATTCCTTGATGATTCAGTTGGATTCGGTTTGAATCTAACAATTTATCCATTTCCTCAGCTTTTCTAATTTGTTAACATGTAGCTGTTTTCAGTAGCCTCTTGCGATCCGTATATTTCTGTGGTACGCACTGTAACTTCTGTTTTTTCATTTCTAATTTTAATTATTTGAGCCTTCTTTCTTTTTTCTTAGTCTAGCTAAAGGTTTGTCAATTTTGTTTATCTTTTCAAAGAACCTGCTCTTACTTTCATTGATCTTTTGTATTGTCTTTTTAGTCTCTATTTCAATTATTTCAGCTCTGATTTTTATTATTTTCTTTCTTTTCCTTACTTTGGGGTTATTCAAATATTTTTTTCTGTTTCAATCCCTTTTTCCACTTCTGAATGCCAATTACAATGTATATTAGATCTTTTGGAACTGTTCAGGATCCTGAGATTCTGGGGTAGGGGGGAGTTGGTTTGTTTTTTTCCCCTTAAATCGTCTTCTTTGTATTCTTTAGATTGGATAATTTCTGTTGAGCTATCCTTATTTTTTTAAGGGTTATAATTGAATCATTTTTATTTATTGTTTTCTTTATCAGTCTACAATTCTTCCTCAGTTACAAAGAATAATAGACTGTATTGTAAGAGGTGGGCCACGGCAATATTATGAAGACAGAAAATGACTATATAATAGGTTTACTGCCATAAGGGAAAATATAGACAGTGAGTTTACATCTTGTCATAGTACTGATAATAACATTAATTTAACAGCCTCATATATGGATGTCTCCATTTTGCCAAGCAGTAGATTAAGAGATTTGCAAATGCTCCTTTCAGTCCCGAGAACACTAAGGCTGTTGAGTATCTCTAGGTTCATTGACTCTTCTGTCTCTCATCTCCTTTTGCATTGAGCTCATCCATTGAATCTATTTCAGATATGGAACTTTTCAGTTCTAAAATTCTTATATAGTTCTTTTTTTTTTTCTTTTTTTTTTTCAGTTCCTGTTTCTCTGTTTCATTTCAAGAGTGTTTTCCTTTACCTCATTGAGTTATCATAGCTCCTTTAAAGTCTTTGTCTACTAACTCAAGCATCTGTTCCATTTTACAGTTGGTATCTGTCAGTGGTTTTTTTTTCTTTGACATAGGCTACATTAACTTGTTCTAGCATTGGGTAATTTTGCATTGTATCTTGAACATTGAAATGTTATGATATGCAGACTTGAGGTTCTGTTATAAACCTCTGGGGAATATTGATAGAATTGTTTTAGTAGATATTCAACCCTGTTAGTTCAAACTGTGGGTTTTTTCCCTCATCTTTCATCATCTCTCCTTCCATCAACCCACTAATGCAAGTCTCAGTTCTCTAAGTATTTGCTATACATTTTTGGGTCTGTGTCACATGTGTAGTTTAGGAGTTCAGGTGAGACTTGTCATTATACTCAGAAATGGGGAATCGCCTTCTCTAGCTCTCTTTCCCTCAGGATTTCTCCTATCCCCTCCAGTTTCCATGGTTCCTTGGGCCAAAAAGGTAGTGGTGGGGTTTTTATTGGAATTTTAGCCACCTGTATTTCTCAAAAACCTCAGTGCAAAGCCATGAAAGGGGAAGCAAAACAAAATAAAACTGGAAACACCCTCATGTGGTTTGCTTTTCCAAATTTCTAACAGTCTACATGCTTTTGTTTACTTTTTTCAGGATTTAGGCGGG